TTTAATGATGTGAAATGTAAATAAACAGTTAAGCGTCAAACCTGAACCTGCAAAACGAAGCAGGAAAAAACATTTTGACGAATCCGAATTCCTGTTCTCTGTTGAATGTTTTTGTGATGAAATAAGCTCTAGAGAATTTCAGCTCGTTTTATTTCTCGAAAGCTCTTCTAGACAAAAATTAGTTTCTAAATATCAACTTCTTTGAAATGTGCGGATCGACAATTATCAATATAATCACCTTTCTAAAATACTGTTCAACCTACCGTAAACGACCACTCAAGATGTCAAGCCTAGGTAGTCGCTCAGGGGAGGTGGTCGCTTATGAGAGATTAGACCACATTGGGTCAAAATTTTTCCTCTTAACATGTAGTAACTGAAGAGACTTACCCCATGTTTTAAATGTTTTATTCGCGTGAAAAGGCAATTTCGAGAAAAATGCGGTACTTTACATTGAGAAATTTCCGTCTCTTGTCGAACCCAGGAATGCGATAATGTGACAACACCTTATTATCCTATTTCTGCTCTGTTGTCTGTCAAGTGGTCTTGAAAACAAACGAAAATTTCAAACGTTTAGCTCTAAAAGTGGTCGCGGTCGCTTACGAGAGGTGGTCACTTACAAGAGGTTCCAAATGTAGTGATTTGACTTGGAAACTGTTGATATTTTGGAATACTGATCGCTGAGGAGAGGTGGTCGCTTGAAATGAGTCGAAAAAATGTTTCATGACATCCCCAAACTAAGACAGAGATGAAACTCAAATGCGCAGCGCAGTATTGTTAACGAAATAGAGGTAAATAGAAGGTAAAGGGAGAAACAAATCATAAAAAATAAATGCTGACAAAGGCCAGATTTCTCAAAAACCGTAAGAATTAGTAATTCCTTTGTTTAATTTGAGAAAATGTTACGAATGATACACAGTACCGTTCGATCAAATATTTTGTATATAAAAACTCATGATCTCAACAATTCTTTTCGCGGAATTCACTTTAGTTTTAAAGAAACAGCTAATTCATGATTTGTTTAGTCGGGCGTCCATGCTTTTATTGACCAAAAACGAAATATATTGACCTGTTAAGAGTACAAGTACCTGCTTATTTCACGCCTACCAAGTACATATGAGCCACGAAACGCTCAATCGAATACTAATTATATATTTTTTAAAATAAATAAACCTTTAAACTGAACAGACTGCGGCAAGAAGGGAATAAAGTTCTAGTGTAATTACGTTATTATTTAAGGGAGACGAATTTAAATTAAACGATCTCAACTCGTTTAAAAAACTAACGACTTTTCCCTGAACAGACTGCTCTCTTTACTAATTAGTTTGTCTTGCTGCAAGCAGCATGACAAGACACGAGCCTAGCCAAGCATACTGTGTCAAACTTGTAAACAATTTTGTCACTTATAAAAAATTTATTGTGGAGCTAAGATAGAGTCCTAAATTCTACTGCACCTTTGTGTAAGTGTAGAATATTAATTTGTTTACTACACCGTAGTAAGTTTTAGTCTTAAAGTCGAGAAACTGGCTACGGTAAATTCTCCAACGTAAGTTGCAGGTCTAACGCCTCACTTAGCGTTTGCGTTTTTGATGATAGACTTTTATCTACTTTTAATTTGCTAAATTTGTTTTATTTAACCTGGATTGCTCTATCGTTCTCTAGTAGAATACCGTGATACTTTTAACTGGCATAAGTTGAAAGTTAGAAAAGAAAGATGCAGCTATTTTTTTCGTCTAATTTTAACTTAATCTTTTTCAGGTTGAAGATGAAGTCAGTGGTGATTTTCAAGTTCATCCTGATGTTCTTTCTTATTTCACATCTACCAAAAGGTTAGAACTTTCGAATTGCTCTTTATTGATTTAAATGTTACGGAGAATTTCGTCTGATGCATATGAAACTCAGTTATTCACATAAATCCAACTGTTGCAATCAATGTAGCCGGAGCGTGAACAAGGGAATTGCCGTCCATTACATGAATTCCAGTTCAAGTAAAGAATTTTAGTTAAAATATCGAATTACTAGATCTTTCTTGTTTTAGCCTGACCACCATTAGAAAGATTTACCTATATTTTCTAGTTGTTTTCAATAAAAAAAATTATTTTACTCATCCTTGTTGATTATCAGATGACTGTAACGATCTCAAGTGTTACCTTTACTGTCTCGAATCCAACGCACGCTCGACGAATAATTGAAAATTATAAATCGGTTT